TGTGCATGTTTCTTATTTAAAAGTTTCAGGAGGACAGGTTAAGAGGAGGCAGACGGGTAAAACTGCAAAATGCAAATCTTCATGTCAGAGCTTGACTCAGATATGTGGAAGCAGTCAGATAATCAAAACAAACCAGAAGAGGAACAGGCAGAGGGCGAAGTCCAGAAATGACTTGGCTCTGTCCAAAACTAGACATCTTTAAGGTTTTTAAGCTACTTTAAAGCATTTTTTCTCTGTTGGCAATTTGTAACCTCATGAATGAACATCAGAGATTAGCTCGAGTTATAAGGTGAACCTTTCACTGAGCCTGAATAAAAATCAGTGGAAAAGCTAGAAAGAAAAACATAGGCATTTTTCTTCTTCTTCTGGTCACTGGAGGCTGACAAACGAACTAGTGAAGCTAAGCTAACTAAAGTATGACTCCGACCATTCCCACGGTTTTTGCCACCTTTACTTTCATTTCTTCTTTACCAACGGGAAACTGAAACAATGAATGCTCTGATTTGATTCATTATACTGTTTAATGTGTTGTGAATTTAAACAGAAACACGTATATGTAAAAAAAACCCAAAAAACAACCACACATCCATGTGGCAAATCAAACTTTAAAAGCAGTTATACAAACTCACAAACACACAGAAAAATATTAACAAGATGAAGCACAAACCTCCGCTAATGCAGCTCAGTCTCTGAGCAGTGTTTACTTTTAGGGAATAGTATTGTATTTTATACACATACACTATGTAGGAGCAGGTAATGGACAAGGTATTGATTTGTAAATAACTGGATGTGAACAACTTCAGCCTATTATATAATATTATGCTACAGTATATTTCTAACTAACAAGTCATTGTCTTTCTCATTTTTAAAGATGTAACAAACTTTGGATTCAACTTGATGTAAAATATAAATCAGGTTTGATATCATTTGTGACATGATATTTGATTGTAAACTATAATGTCATATTTAAGATCTCCACTATCATTTTATAAATGTTGCCAATATTAACAAAGGCACTAAATTTTAACCACAGTTTTAAAGATAAAAGACATTTTATGAAAGTTTAACCTTATTTGACCTCAAAGAAGCCGTCAGAGGTCCAAAGGAATTGTCAGGGCCTGGATCTGTGACCCAGTGTTTTGAGTTTATTTTGTATTTTTGTTTTTCTTTTGTTAGATTGCATCAATGTTAAGTTCTTGTGTTATTTAGTTAGGGTTTATTGAGTGATTTATTCTAGTGTATGTTTTTATCCATGTCTCCGTATTCATGAGTCTTTCCTGTCTTCGATGTAAGTCTGTCTTAGTTATGCTTTCGTCTCCCTTATCTGTACCCGTGTGTCTCTCCCTGTGTTCTCAAGCTTGTGTTGTCATGTCCACGTTTCATTATGTTTCACAAACACTGTGTAGGAGCAGGACCGGAGTGGACTGCAGACAAATTTCCATGACTCCACTCCACAAGATTTCATATTTTTTTTCAAAATGTTCTTTTTACCAACAGAATAACATCCAATGCTACCAAAAACATAACTTCCTTGTCTGAGGTATTTACTGAAAAAGCCCTGTAACATTACAGACTTTCAGTGACTCTACTTCAAACTATGGTTATCTGATAACCACAGTTTAATAGATCTGGAGAAAGGAGATGTTGGGCAGATGTTACACTCCTTAATTCTGTGGGTATAGTATTCTAGGAATGTGCTCAGTAAGATTCAGGATTCAAGAAGTTTATTGTCATATACACCACAAAACACAAGTGGCCGTGCAGAGCAATGAAATTCTTACTTTGCGAGTTCCCTTCACTCAACTAAATAAACAACTAACTAAAATAAGGAATAAACTTAACTAAAGTAAGAGAAATGTATTTTAAAGCCAGTTTAATTATTTTTCCCAGTTTAATTAGCCCCAGTTCACACAATAATGACGTGAATTTGAGTTTTTAATCTCATGTTTTCAGATCCTGCTTATGGATTCTTTCTACTGATGTAGATGTGATCCAACTTGTCTGGTAGTTTATGTGAGACTGAGGCTGATTCTGTTGTTATAATTCTGATTCTTGTGATTCTTCCATCATTTAAACACTTTGAGTTAATTATTCAATTATCCAATATTATCCAGTAGCAATATTTACTGATTAAAATCTCACATTCATTCATTGATTCTAAAAATCTAATAATAATCCAGTGTCTCTGATATGTGGATTATGAACTGCATCTATTTAGCTGTTCCCTCGCTCACCCACATTTCAGTTACTACACATTACAAAAACACAAGACTGAATTCACATCCCTAAAATCTGTGATCGCACTGAGAATACCACCGTATGCCTTTACACTACAAATGGCACCAGCATGTCTGGCACTGTCCCAGCACAGAGAAGCAGAGAGATAAGGTCTAACCAGAAAGCTCACAGAGTCCAGTTTAACTTTATCTGGAAGTTTTGTCTGAAGCTCCAGTCAAACAGAATATAAACTCCTTCACCATTAGATGTTTAACACTCCTCGTTCTCTCTTCCCTTCACTGCCCTGATTGGTCTCTTTGAGGCTTTCCAAGTCTTCATGCACAGAAGCACCTCCCCTGTCACTTTAGTCCCGAAAAACCTTTGACTTCCTGACTCACTAACAAACTTACATCATCCTGCTTGATTTTCCTACTTGTAACATTTTGAATAACCATTGGTTGCTGGAAAGCTGCGCTCACAGTCACAGGAAGTCCAGACTGGAATGTGTCAAGTGTCCTCAGATCATGAGGTGATGACAGCAGTGGTCGCTTTTAAGTATATAGTTGATCTCATTTGACATTTAAATCCAGTATTTAGTTATGTTGGAAGTGATTAATGAAAAGTTAAAGTGCTTTAGTTTCTTTGTATTCAGATCATTTCTTAGTGTTTGCTTGTTTTTCCTTTTGACCTCTGTTTGTTAGGTCACTTTTTGCCACTTCAGTTTTGTTTGTAGGTTTTGTTGAAGCTGTTGGTTTGTTGTGTTTTGCTGTTTTTATTCAGCCTGAGTTTACTTCCATTAATGGCTCAGAACTATGATTTTCTTTTTCTAAAACTATTTTTGATTCTTTTTTGATGATCAAATAAAATCCACGTGTTTCACAACCATCTAACCAATGTTCAGTTCATGTCCACTCTATTTAAATAACGCATTTTACATACAATAGCAAACATCATGAAGATAAATCTAAAATGAAGCTAAGTAACTGGAATCTGGGATGGCAGCCTTACAACAGCAAACTCCAGCATTAGCCAGCATTTTCTGCATTGAGAGCTTCTGTGTTACTACTTTAAGTTCATTTGTCTACTTCTAGTTAAAAAAATTTTGCTTGAGTAACATATTACATGCCTTAGTGTCTGTAGCACAAACATTTTACAGATTCATATCAGTGCTTTTACTTGGATTAATATTAAAAAAGATGTTTGGTGTGAATAACAAATTGTAGCTCATACTATACCAACAGCATGACTTGAAAACTTTTTATAAATGACTAACACCTTCAGAATTTCCTCATTTAATGTTGCCATGGTTTCAGTGGTTGGCTCACAACCAACATTTTTGTATCTGCCTCAAAAAATGAAAACCAAAGCATTAAAATGAGTCCAAAAAGCAAAGGGAGGCAAGATTTTAGTAAACACAGAAGCATGTTGGGAATGTAAACTGTCTTTACACTCCTTAAGGCTCAGCACGATTACCAGTGACCCCCGAGTCAAAAGCCTTTTCACTAACACTTGTTCGTTTTTACTGTTACATATAAAAATATTATAGGAGCTATAAAGAGAATAGTATACTTTAGACAATGTCACTGATATTGTGATTTTTTTAATTGGAGAATGGATAAATGCATTTGTTTGATCTAGTCTGTGTGACAAATCAGTTCGTTTGGGGAGATTTAAACTTCACAACACTGTGTTTTTATGATTATGAAACTTTCGTCCCTGACTCAAATGAATGACATGAACGAATTACAAGTTTTCTTCAGATGGCTTGGTCTCTCTGTTTCACTCGTGTGGCTCTGCTGCTGCACTTCCAGATGTTCTGATATGTAGTCGTGCCTCTTATGACTTCAAGCTGGAGTAAGGGGGAGCGAGAATAAACAGACTAAAAATAACTAAGGAGGAGTGACTAAACAAGGTTGTAGATCATTTCTGAAGTGTGAAGGAATGAAACAGATAGGAAGACAGGCTAAAGGGCTTTTAATGCTTCAGTCTTAGCAGTTGAGAGCTGGTCCTGAGCACGACTTTGTCCTGGAGGAAGGCTTCACAGGAAAGAGATAAGGGAAATCTGCTTCACTGAAATAACTAGGCCTCAGCATTTGTGTGTGCAGACCAGCAGGAAGGGACATAAAGTATATTTGCTGAAGTTTTTGAGTTTATTGAAATATTTCTTATTTATACATTTAAAAGCAAAACACTGCACATTTTAGAATTTATCACTCAGATCAGTCAGACTACATACACGTTTTCATTTACCAGTGTGTGTGTGTGTGTGTGTGTTTGTGTGTGTGTGTGTAAGATAAGATAAGATAAGATAAAACTTTATTAATCCCTCGGGTGGGTTCCTCTGGGAAATTCGGTTTCCAAAAGCACAGCACCGACAGAAGTTACAGTTACAGAATATTATATATACACACACACACACACACACACACACACACACACACACACACACACACACACACACACACACACACACACACATATAAATACAGAGACATATAAATAAAATATACGAAGGGGATAAATAGAATAAATAGGAATAAAAAATAAAAATACAAGTGAATTGCACATTTCAAGTATTGAGTCTATTGCACTGTTGACTATTTACAAAAGTATTGCACAGTGAGGTGAAGAGGCACTACAGCTTAGTTGTTCCCCTCCTTTGTCCTCCTGTCTCCCCTCCCTCTCCCCTTTAAACAGTTGTGTGTGTGTGTGTGTGTGTGTGTGTGTGGTGGTGGTGGTGGGGGGGTCGTGGTGTTTAGAGGACCTGACTGCTATGAGGCTGACATGAGCTCATCGCTTATTTTTCTTAATGGGATTTCCCCGAAAATTCAGATTTCCCGGATGGATGTTTTTGATTTCACTTTCCCAAAGAGAAGACCAGCCCGCTGATCCACGCCCACAGCTTATAAAGGAGCGTGGACCTCCATGTTGCTATCTGTTCTGCTCTCAGTTCATTACAGACACCATCTGGCCAACAAACTTTGGGCTCGGAGATTTTTTATTAACAAACGTTTTTTCTTTTTCGTTTTCCCAACGAAACTATCTGGACACGATGCTTTCCTGTTACCTTTTCCTCGTTATTTCTTTGATGATCTCCTTCCGAGACGTCCGCGTGTCCGCCTCTGGTAAGTGTCCCGTTATCTGTTGTGCTCAGAGATTTTTTTCCCCCGTACTTTTGGGGGGTAGAGTGTTGCTGCTTCAAAGTAATACAACAGTTTGACGCTTCGTGTTTTTATTATGAGACTTACAGATTTAATTATTTCATTATGTCTCATGTTATTAAATAGATGGGGGGGGATAAAAGGAGTCAACATAAAGTTTTACTAGCAAAGTGCTTCTTAGAATCGACCTCCAAAATCTCCGGACCCCTCTACCGATGGAAAAGCATTCTTCCTAAAGCTGTTCATTCGTTTGGTGTTTTGGTGGTGGCTGAGAAACCAGACAGTGTATAAATTAGAGCGATAAAAATGTATTACAAAGTGGCTCCATGGCGTAGGGATTTACAAATTCTCCGCTTTGATCCATTTGGGACTGTGTCCGGATGGCAGCTGACCTAAAAATCTGCCACATCAAACTTCATCAAGCTTCCCGCTGTGGTGATCTGTTGTTGGGAGCAGCCGAAAGTAGCTTTCCTACAAAGACTGTCAGACATTTTCCATTTGTGATGAATATATTTGCTTAGCAGGAGACTTAGGAAAACTTCATTCAAATAAACTACAGTAGCCTGTAACCTGCACAGTTACAGTTACTCTTTTTCACATATCTGGATCTGATCAGGCTAACCCACACTGGTTAAACTGATTTGAGATCTATAGTGACCGCGAGGTCTGTAGCATATAATTTACATGCTTTTTTATAGTCATTAAACCAATCAGAGACCCGGGTCTCTGATTGGTTTAACTGATGTTGGTTTAACAGATTGGTTTAACTCACACTTTATGAAAGTGAGACCAATTAGGATGGAACAGGATCGACTGATCACTCAGAACAACTTTATGATTGATTTGCTCTGACTGTGCCTCAAGGAAAGATGCACATAAGGGCCAAAACTTCCCACTGCAGGGTTCGACTGTTCAAATTTTTCCTTTAACTTGTCACCAGAGTGTAACTATGCAAACAACGTCTCTCTGCTTTCTTAATCCTTATTCTTATTCTTATTATATATAAACCTTGTACAAAATGTTCTGATATCAATTGAGAAGTTGAATCTACTTGTATAATCTTGCTGATTAATTTTGTGTTTGATTTTAAATAAACATATACACACAGAGAACAGCAGAGCCATATAATGTACAAAGATTTTATTGGGTTGCAAAACCTTTTATAGGATACAAAATATACAGTAATGTCTGACTAAAATAGTGCACACTGTGTATGAAGTGTATCTGCTAATCTACCAAATAACAACACTGGATGTGTTTCTTACAGGTTCTATCTGCACAGAATCTCCTGTGTTCACTCCATCTGCGCTGGTAGTGAAGTACGGTGACCCAGCCAATGTTACATGTGTTGTATGTCAGAAGGACTGCAGTGGAGATGTTTCAGGTTTGGAGCACCCTGTGGGAAAAGTTTCACAAAATGGAACCACGATGTTCTGGACAGTTGACAGACTGACTGAATGGGGCATATCTCTACAGTGCTATTATACCAATGATGCTGATGTTCAGTGTACTAGCGTTCTGAATCCAACTCTTTATCGTAAGTATGTTTACTTTATACCAGGAGATGCATTAGTGAATTTTACATCACTTATACTTAGTTATAATTCTAAAGTGAAAATTGCTTTATAACCTTATTATTATATTTATTAATTATTTGTGGAAACATACAGTTGGATGGATTCATACTCTCAGCTGCTGCAGACCAACCTCTAGCTTACATTCTATGTTGTTCTTTACATTTTTGTTTCTTTCCTTGTCTTCACAGAGCTTCCAGAAAGTGTCTCCATCAGCTTTGTAAACCACACTGAGATGATGTTTGAGAATCAGCAGTACACCCTGCAGTGTAGCGTACAGAACGTAGCTCCTGTTGAAAAGCTCAATGTGACCTTCTACAGAGGAAACACAGCACTGCGTCACCTACAGTCCAGGAGTGAACAAAAGAAACCAGTGAATGAGACCTTCACTCTGAACATCACCCCCAGTAGAAAAGATGATGGAGCCCAGTACTGGTGCGAAGCCAAGCTGGAGCTGGGACCAGCTGGACCACAGAGCCCTCCAGTGGTGACATCAGAAAAATTCTCTGCTCCTCCAGTCTACTGTGAGTCTGAGAGAAATAAAGACGCTCTTTGTTCTGTTCCTCAGAGTTTAACATTTTGAGCATGTTTCATGTCACTGGTTTAGTTTTATGTCCCATTACTTTACTGTTTTGATTCTTCCTCACACCTCTCATCACTGTTAATGAACAGGCTCTAAAAAGCATCATCAACAAACTGTTGACTGACACAAGCTGATGAACATAGTGGAGGATTTAGCTGCTAAAAACTAAAACACTCAGTGTGTTTGTAGAGACCAAAAAATAGAACTCCACTTTGTTTGTGAACCTTAAAAAATAATAATAATTGTGTTTAAACTCTAAATGAAATTTTTTTAGTATATATCAATTTAAATCTGGAAGCAATTGACTGCAACAAATCTTCAAGAAAGAAAAGTCTGTTCTTTTTATTATGTTAAAGCCACTCCAGAAAAACTCATCCACTCCTTTCAGAGTGCCATATGGCTAGAATAACTCTCTGAACTGTCAGACTGACCTATTAATGTCACACTGCATGTAATATAAACTTTATGTCAGATGTTTAGTGCGGTGAGCATTAACCTGCAAAGTAAGTAGAGCAGTTAAACATCATGAAGTGGACAAACTGGTAAAATATGATCCTTTGAAATCTTAAAGAGTAGAAATTAAGCGAAATGGGCTGAACTGTGGACAGTGCTTTCCAGTTTCTGCTGTATATTATGTTAGTGAATAATCTGTTTTACGTTTCCAACGTGTTAAACATTTTCTCTGTCAATTATCACAGATGAAAAGTTACAGAGATTAACAAAATTGCGCGACTGTGAAAACAGGCCCATGTTTCCCTATGTTGAATTTCTCTTCCAAAATTGTTTGTTTTGCTAAATCTTTTGTTCTTTTTTTTCCTTCAATAATCACACAGATGGGCCTGAGCTCAATGAGCCACCAAATCCAGATGTGATCACAATCACGGAAGGAGACACTCTACACCTGAACTGCTCCTCTGTGGGAAACCCCAGCCCCTCATACACCTGGACACGCCCAAAAAATAGCTCATCTTCCTACACTGGCAGCGTTCTCACTATCAGTTCTGTCGGCTTTGAGCATGAAGGACAGTATATCTGCACTGTGAGCAACACAGTAGGGAATGTCACCAAGGAGTTTAACGTTGATGTACAAGGTGAGATTTTAGTTTGTTTTTCACATCCAGTTTCAATTCAAGCAGCGTTTGGATATTTTCTGTTTGACTCATTTGAATATTCTCTTTTTCTGTTTTCTTTACCAAAGCCTCTATTCCCAACTCTGCAGCTTTCCCCTGGATATGGATAATAGTCGGGGTATTTGTGGCTGTTCTGTTTGTCCTCATACTTTGTGTGCTATGTTGTCTTGTCTATAAACAAAACCGAAAGGGAAGCTACAACCTAAAGGATGTTTTACGGTTTCCTATGCGCACTGCCTTGCCTCTGCAAAACTGCGAGAATATCTGAACTGTGGACAAACAGTCTGGAGCAGTTTCTTCGACATTAGGTGCTGTCTAATTCTTCAAGTCAATTTGTCAAGTTTGACATCATCCCGGTTTGATTGAGGTAGTGGTTACCTTCCTCTACTGATGACATCTGATGACACCAAACAACAAAAATGACAGCATGAAATGAAGACTTTAAGTGACGTGACCGGTGACCTAAATACTGAATGGAAAAAAAGCTTCTTTCTCTTTTAACAAGCTTCTGCTTTTAAGGTACTGTAACACAGTCAGCAGCGGTTCTGCAGTCACTTCCTGTAAATATGCTGCCTTAAATCCAGGTCTTGGGTTGCAGCTTTTAAGGAGTGATCTCTGGATTTCATTGTAGTGAGTGTGGAATTCAAAGTTCCCGTGTCGATATAGACTGAAAACATAGGATGTCACCAGCTTTTTCCTTGAACTGTTACACAGCCTGGAATTTAGTACTGTTGTCATGGCAGCAGCTTACTGGCCTTTGTCTGTATTTCTGCCACTACTTTGAACTAGTAGCAAGATGTAAAACATTCTCGATTTTGACTGTTGACTGCTGAGAAAATCGAGTTCTATGAGAAATATTTGATATTATTTTAAGTTATGTTTTCAGTATTTGGTGACTGTAAAAGTACAAACTCAAGACTAACAGGACACTAACTTAAAGATTCTGCACACTTTTTTTTTTTTTCAATTTGTTTTGGCAAATGTGAAAGTAAATTAATGCTATCAAATCCATATGCAAGCAGAGGGCTGAATATCCACTATCACTGCTGTGTGGATGAACATGCTGTTTAACTGTTTTGTTTGTATAAAAATAATTTAAATGACTTTGTATGTTTATTTAGACATGTGCTTTTTTTGTACTAAAGTCTAAAGGAGAATTTCTGTTGCTTCCTTCAACGAGTGTAGTGGCTGTAATTGTGTCAGGCTAGCTTTGCACTCCTGACCTCCACTGTAGAGAATCAGAGGAGAAATGTGAAACATGCAGGTTATTGGCTCTGCCAGCACGCTGCCTCAGACTTGCAGCTTCCATCATTGCCAGGAATCTGGAAGAGGAGCGTGCCAACTTAGAGCCATGCTTCTACCGGCTGATGGGAAATAGACAAGGCTGAAGTGTTTTGTTGTTCACATCCGTTATGAAATTTCCACTGAAGCCCTGAAACCCTCAGAAAGTCTAAAGTGTAAAAAATAAGTGGTCTCTGTGACACCACCCACTGGCTGAGGTTTTGAAGCCTCAGGTTTGACACCATCTAAGACATGTTAGGCGTCATGTTTCTGACCTGTTAGCAACTCCCATCTTTCATATATTATCTACGATTCAAACAAACAGCTAGTGACCTACCAACGGTTGCCACATCCATGTATGTTTGTGTATAGTATGTGTGATTGTTTATTGTTATATTGTGGGTATTAGTGAAAAAGGCTAAGTTGTAATAATACAGTGCACACTGGAGCTTGTGTTTATTTTTAAAATGTAAATAAATTACAGAACCTTTTTTGAAAAAAAAAAAATAGAAACATGTATACTGATTTTTTTTTTCTGATTCTATTTATCCTGTGGAAAAATCTCACCTTGTCTATTTGTCTACATTCAGTTCAATTCATTTTTATTTATATAGCGCTAAATCAGGATAACGCAAGGTGCTTTATATTGTAAGGTGAAGACACTACAGAGAAAACCAAAACAATTAGGTGAACCCTTATTAGCAAACACTCTGGCAACAGGGGGGGTGGAAAACCTCAATTTTAACAGGAGGAATTCTCTGACAGAAGCAGACTCAGGGAGGGGCAGCCATCTACTGCAAATGTTTGGAGCAGAGGGGAAGGGAGACAGGGCAAAAGACAGCCAGAGAGTAATAATAACTAAACAATTCAAATAATTAAACTACTAAAAACATTTTTAGTGGAGAGTGAAAAAAAGTGAGTGTGGAAGAAACACTCAGCGCATCTGTCACGGCAGTGTAACGGACTCGGCGCGGACTGAGGAAGCAAGGTTCAAACAGTTCTTTATTAATGACACTGGTGCGCTATATACATGTGAAGGGGTGGAAACACCAGGGCCCCGAGGGTCAACAGGTTGGGGAAACACACGTCTTCGTACTCCCTCCTCTCCTGGTCCGAACAATCTCCACACAAGCAGCTCACTTTCACTCACCCCAGGCGTCACAAAGAGGGCAGATCCAGATAAACCTATTTACAGAGACGTGGATTAGTCAAAGGCAAGTACGGGAACAACAGAATCGCTATAGAGCCGGGCAATACTAACAAGAGTAGCTCAATGTTCCAACGGCGAGTAGTTCAGAGCCCCTGCCTTAAGAAGAGCCAGAGATCAACTGCAAATCACCGGTGATCAGCTGCAGGTGCGCAGGCCAAGGGCGGGAGCCCAATCTGAGCTCCGCCCAGGCAGACAGGCAAGAGAGAGAGCATGGCGAGGAGAGCAGAGAGAGCAAAACAACAAACACTTGTGGCCACACTGGGCTGGCCGGGGAGGCACAGGGACCATGACAGCATCATGGGAAGCCCAGGATCCTAGGCCTACTAATGGGCAGTTCAGGCTTACCTGATCTAGACTTAACTATAAACTGAAATTAAAGAGGGTGCTTGTCTTTTAAGAGCTGATTACACAGAAGAAGGCCCTGAAAGCTGAAGTAAGCTTTGAGCAGTCTGAAAGTGAAAAGCACTAATGGAGTGATATGGTACAATGACGGGTCCTGATTGTTCAAGAGCTTGTATGTGAAATATTTCTGTATGTATATCAAAGTCTACCTGACATGGTCTTTCACTGTGAAAACAATAAACACAAGTAATGAGAGAACTGGAACTGGTAATTACGAATTTCCTGTTTATAAGATTCTTCAACACCAGATTAACTCCTGCACTCTTCTGAATGTCTTTGGATTTCAGGGGAAACTCCGCTGCAGAAGTTGTACATAGGATGAGTGAGTAAATGTGCTTCCTCCCCCTGCTTCCTTCACAGGAAGACATTTCCAGTGAAAGGAGTAAGGGAAAAAAGAGGGCACTAAGCCTGGTTTTTCTTATCATGTCATGCTTATTCACTGAAAGAACATCATAATTGATTTAAAAAAAAAAAAGCACACCCAAACCTCCTTTAACATCCAACTTGTCTTCTTACATTAAACTTGTCTCAGTCCTGTGTAAGCCCCAGTAGAAAGTGTTTCTCCCCCGCTGATGAAATAAGTAATGCTTGTAAACCACTTAAAATATATATCTTGTGCTAAACATAATTAAGGCTGGTGTAATGTCCTCCCTTGTGTTTGTTATTGTTGGAATCACTTCAGTGTGTGAGGCTGGCTGTTTAGCTGTTCTTTAAAGACCTTTCATATTGTACACTTTTAGCCCTGCGATAGACCGGCAGCATGTTCAGGAGTACCCCGCTTCTCATCCCATGATAGCTAAGATAGGCTCCAGCAGCCACCCGCAAGCCTGATAGGATCTCCATTATCTTGAGCTAAAATCAAATTCAAATTCAAATTACTGGATGAATGGATAAAAAGTAACACATGTAACCATTTTTCTCAGCAAAACAATATTCTTCTATGATGTTTATAAATAGCTATGATGTAACAAATTAATAAATCATCAAAGTAGCTTCACTCATCAAAAATGTGATTTGGAAATCTTGGACATTCTGAAAATCAGAAGTTAAATCCCTTTTCTTACTGGAAGGAATGCATTGCTTTCCTGTGAAGCTGCGCTTAGAGCAGGCCTTTCCTTTATGGCATAATCCCCACAGTCATGTGCACAACAAGAACTTCCGATGAACAAGCCTGACACCACGCTTTTTTTCCAAGTTGCCATGAGGAAAATCTGCGCATATAAAAACACTTCCAGAGGAAACATCTGCCCTCCTGTGTTTTTATGGTCACAAGAGTTCATGATGAACTGCAAAACTTTCAAAACAAGTTCAACATGGTGTTTCATTTCCTTTATATCCTTTTATTTGGTAAACTCAGCAAAACTGCTTGAATAAGTTCAAAACTACATGACTACAAGATCTAACGGTCTTTTCAAGAAAACATTGTAAACAAATGTCAAGATGTGACCCTGTGAAGACTTCCCAAAACTGGTGCCAGGAGTCTAGCGGTCCATCTGAACAAAAGGCTCTTATACTTAAACAGATATACGTGTGTTTGCTATACCATATATCAGCAAGAGAAGATACGACCTCTCCTAGAAGGTGTGTGATCTATGCCAAAACCCTCTGAAGAGGAGTGAACGCACCCCCCTCTTCATGTTACACAGAGTTGTTACAGACCTCCTAGGATGAGACATTCTTTCAATCTACAAATGGTTACATACTTCTAAGCATATATATAAATATATATTTCTGGGCATAAATGACAATCCAACAATACAAATCTAACAAAAACACTTCCACTTTGGTAGAGCTGATGGTGTTATAGGAAGGAAGACTAACTGATGTGCTGAATCGGTGGCAAAGATTAAGAGGTGTGGCCCAATACTATTGACCGAAGTGTCAAAAGAAGAGCTTCAAGAAGACTGTTCCTAAAATCTATTTATAGAAATGACAATGAAAACTTGCCTGGAGCTCAGGCTGTGTTGAGGAATAAATGTGGCGACACTAAATGTCAACTTTCAAGTTCACTGGAATTCTGCAAACACATTTTTTCCTTACAGTGTATGCCCAAGTATGTTTGCACACGTTTCAATAAATCATTGCATCTATTTATCATTAATATATAAAATATAAATATGTGTAGTTCAGGTCTCTTGCGCAGCCCTGTAGTTTATAGATAATATATTATAACAATGTAAGCACACCCCCTTTAATCCAACCCTAAGTAAACGCTGCACTTTCAACAAGCGCTTCTTGATGACGTAAGTGGCTGCATTGCGCCTGGCGTTGTCCTTGGATACGGGATTTCTCCTCTTAGCTTGTTTCGCTAAGAAGATTGGACTCCGTCTTTGCTCGCTTGGCTGATGTTTTGTCGGTGTAGGCTCACAGAAGTTGCCTCTTAGTATAACCGATAGGAGTGGGACAGCATGAGCGGTATCGACTACAGCGTGTGGGACCACATCTACGTGTCAGACGATGAAGATGTCACGTGCCCGTTCGTGGACACTCCGAGCTTGTTCAGAATGAGACACCGGGTCAGCAGTGACAGTAGTGCTAGCCGTGAAGTTTGGAGTGCTACACCTGGTTAGTCTTCCCACTAGTAAACCTGTAGTAGCAAACCGAGAGGGAGTAGACAGTTTGAGCAGCCGGTGTTACTTATGTGTAAATATACAGCGGATATACGCAATTCGGCTGCAGGCTTATTTTAAGCCTTTAGTTTCCTAAAGGCAGCCACCGGTCCGGTGATGAGTCACCGATAGAGAAAGAAAAAGCAACGCTGTGTGTGAGATAGTGAGGTAATTCTGTAAAGTTTTGGGGGGTTTCCATATACTTTGCTGTTGGGTAACATCAGGTTATTTTAAAAGGGGAAATTACTTGAAATCCTTTAGCATCTGAAACGTGGTAAACAACAAGGCATTTGAAGGAAGAAGGCAAAAAAAAAAAAATACTAAAAGAGGAAGACAGCTCTTAAAGAGAAGTCCACTGCCAAATTAACAACAACAAAAAATGTTTCCAAAGTCAAAAAAAGAACCACTAGAAGAGATTAAAAGTTTACTTTAAATGATCAAAACATACAAATGAAACCTGCAGTGTCATTTAACAGGAAATGTAACATGTAGCATGTAAAGATCTGCTCCTGATCTCCAAAGTAATAATAGGCTTTCCTGGAGCTTTCAGTCCCCTCCTACACTCTGCTTGATGAGCTTTTCCTGAGCTTTCTAATGCACTCTCAGAGTCTTCATCTCTTTAATGGTAAACACATTAAAAGTATGCTCATCTAAAATGTGTATTGTACACTGAAGAGATGTCACATGTTTAATGTTCGACAGCAGTTTTACTTCTCTGATTTTCATTTTAAGTTTGAAACGCATGCCAGGATTTTGAGAAGAAAATTAATCTAAATGACATTAGTTAGAAGGTAAAAAGGAGTTTGTGTAAGTAAGATTAAAGTGCGTTTGCTACAGTAACACTGTTGGTCAGACTGTGTCTGTCTGTGGAAACTGGCTCTGATAAGCTTATCTCATTGTTACCGTAGAAAGTGAAAGGTTCTAGAGAAACTTTCATTTCAGTATTTCCCTGGCTTCTGTTGCCTATTGTGTCACCTGTTTGTTTTTTTAACACTTTACAGTTTGAAACGTAAAAACTTTCCAGGATAACGGGAAAGTTTTTACGTTAACACCACTGTGTTTGAAATGTTAACTGTGGAGAAGAAAATTCCAGTTAGATTTTTTTGAACTGTGCGACTGTATAAATGTGACCACATCATGTAAACTCACTCATGCACTTACACAGTGTCAATAAAGCTCCCAAAAGTCAAGGCAAGAATTTGTTCAGAGACTGTTGAACTCAGACTCCAGTTGGAGTTCAATGACCTTGTTTTCCCATCTGCACTGCAAACACATTTAAAACTAAAAGAGGCCAAAGGGCTGTGAAAACAAGCTCTGAGGTCTCATGATTGTGGTTATTTGTCACCTTGTTGGTCGCTCTGTAGATTTCATTCTTCTGCGTAAGCTGAGCCAATCATGTGCTGCCTTTTTCAGTCAGGAAGGAACATGTCATGGAGACACATGAGAAATGTGAAAAAAAAATGGCAACACAGCTTCTGTAAATAGAACATTTCAGCAGTCAGTGCACTCTGTGCTGCTGTTTATTTTTAATGTGACTGCTTGCGCTGCCAAAAAAAAACAAAACCCAAGCACATGCAGTTCATCTGTAAGGTTTGGGCTGCAGTACAAGCTTGTACTAAAGTACCACTCAACAGGTTTCCATAGATATTATGTTCTGTTGGACACGAGTTACCATGGTGATAAAGCTTGGTTGAAGAGCACCACCTTCGACACAATGACAACTCTTAACGGTAGATTCACACAGGGAGAAATAAAACAAAATAATGTGATGCTATAAATATATCCAGCTGTTTCTATGTGCAGTGTTGAGCAAAAGTCTGAATCTGTGCCTTTGTTCTATTCAGGTATGCTTTTACTGCACTGGCAGTGTTTTTGAGATCAGTGTCGTGGTGAAAAATGAAGCCGATAGCTGAACTGCAAATGAGTGAAAAAGCAGTTAGTGTCCTAAGAAAATCCTTTAAACCTTTAAGAAATCCTGAAGAGCTATTACTCAAGACCACTTTTAAAAAGGACAAGAAACTCTGGCCCCTGGAAGCAAAACATAAAGAAAAGAGTAGTAGCCCAGCACTTTTTTCACTGTTCTTTTAAGCCTGTTATTAGCACACAGTACCTTTAATATAACGGTCAACCAACAAATCATCAGTGCATACACACAAGCACTACAGATATCACGTTAGATATACTAAAAAGAAACGTGTCAAAGCCAAAACTGTAGCAACCAAAGCACGGCCGTGTCATCTCAATGATATTCTTTTTGGCAGTGGTCAGTCAAAGAGCATACAAACATGCTTGTTTGCTCTTCTTTTTAAATGCAGTCGTGCGCTACCAGAAGTACCAGGTATTATTCTTGACCACTTCACTACCAGAAGTGGTCAAGAATAATATAATCTATAATCTATTATAACACAGCTCAGTCTTTCTTTTTTGTGGCTCAGAGAAAATATTGTGAGGCAACTTAAACTTATTGACCTTTGATCTTTCTCCTACATCAGGTATTGATTTTTTCTGTAGTTTTTAAATGCATTAAAATTCTTTAAAACTACAGAAAAGCAGTACCTGATGCAGGGAACTGCATTTGTACTTTTTTCCTATTATGCCATCTTTAAAGTGGGCCTGCAAAGCCCTTTTTCAGCTTCAGCTTTTTATTCTTAGACTTTGGAAGACTAGCTTGACATGATTCATAGATTAAAAATTTTCTCATTGACCATAAACAGCACCTCACTGCGTCCACTTCCTTGCTTTAAAGTCAGATTTCATCTGATTGGCTGCACCATTAAAAGCAGAAGGTTTAAATAGCTGGTGGGTGGGGCTTATGGTCTCACTGCCAAACCTACATGCCTGAGGTAACCATATTAGGATATCATTTGTCTTTGATAACAAACAGTCTGAAGTATAGTAAAAAACTGCCAGAGATTGAGCGATTAAAGGCGTGTCAGCTCTCTGGGTTACATACACTCACAGTGGGCCAACATTAAATTTGGCACATTAAACAGGATACTTCTTATTTAAATATACTTATTGTATGTTTTCTCCCTACACAGTGTCCATATAGCTCTTGTCTTGGTGTCCCTGTTTCACTTTTAAATCACTTGTGCTTTCAGCTCGCTCTCTGCCTCATGTTTATTTTACTTTTGTCTCTTTGCTCCCGTCCACTCGGGACCTCCACAACAGAGCCGGCTGGAGAAAATGGTAGAGTTTCAGCAGAGAGGTGAAGACCTGGAAACCAGCTTTGCAGAATGCAGGAGGCTATTAGAGGAAGCCCAGGGACGACTTGCATACCTAGAAGAAAGAATGAGGGAAGGAGATGAGGATAAGGAGAGGGAGGCTGAGCTGAAAAAAGTCCAGACAGAAATAAAGAAACTGAAACAGGATGAGAAGTCCTTTGAGAAATTGCTAGAAGAACACCGAAAAGAAGAGAAGAAGCTGCCCTGGAATGTAGACACTATCAGCAAGGATGGTTTCAGCAAGGTAACGCAGGTCATCTGGGTCGCAGGATTTGTCAACTTTTCAGTTTCCTGATTTACATGTTGTCTTATCTTACTTTGCAGAGTGTGCTGAACTTTAAGCCTTTATCAAAGGAGGAAACTGGGGAGGAAAAGGTGGGGAACCACAAGAACTTTCTGGGGAAGTATGGGAAAGAAATCAAACTCTTTGGTAAGTGAGCTGGTTGTATTTGTTGTGTTTCCCCCTATACTCCCACACAATGTTCTGCCTCACTACTTCCCTTATCTCGCTCTCTTCCACTGCTCTCCTCCTTCACCCGGTGGAAAATACGTGTCATTCGGAGTCTACAAATACATTTTTACTCATTGTCCCAGACGTTTCAAAGACACTAAATTTATCATGGGCTCTGGACAGTCCTGTAGCTACAAGTTGTTAAATGTGTTGTAACATGCAGTTTCTACTGATTGATAGCTCCATGTTCATAAGGTGCATGTTCATAAGAAACACTGAATAAGTGAGCTTCTTTACAGTGACAAAAAAGGGGATGGTTTACTGGTCTGGCCCACTTAAGATCACAGAGAGCCGGATGTGACCTGCTCTAAACCGACACAGCTTTTACTTACAGTTTACTAACAGGATATAACCAATTAAATTTTTTTAAGTGTGGATTTTCTGTTTGTAAAATTATGCTTGGAGTGACATTAACAGGACCACACCTAGTAAAATATATCCTGAAGGGACTTCCACTCGCTCAGATTGCCTGGTGATTAAATGCCTTCAGCTTTTGTGTGCCAGAGTTCTTCTGAAACTAAACAAACTGGGGAGGGGTCATGGAGAAGGAGGGTGTTGGGTCTGTGTTTCCACAAGCCCCGCTAATTCTAGAGAATTTCTTTCATCATAGTTAAAACAATGTACAAATGGTAAACATAAAAATGACAATCATTTAACAATTCACTCTAACAGAGGGAGTATGTTTTTAACTGCGTCACATAGAAACGGATAAAGAGTAAAATTTAGTGTGTCCACACACTTTCTTAAAAAGATTCCCCTTTTCTTATCTTAGAAGCTCTCGATTTTTACGACTTATCTTATCAGCCCATATTAATGTTAATAATTATTATTGTTGTCACAGACTTAATGGAGTTCCCCTTAAAATGGGTTGTATAAGCAGTCAAATATTTCTAAAAAAGGGATGAGTTGAGTACCAAGAACAGCAGTGATTTCACAACTGGAGCCAGTATTTCAGTAACTGAAAGCAAAGGACTTACAAAGTGTTTGCTTTGTAAGTCCTTATACACACTGTTATACACAGTATACACTGTTACTGTAGTGGGTATTCATAATAAACATGGACAAAGTTTCAAACAATGAAGTTAGCATAGGGAAAAAGCTCAGGCTTTACGCTGCTCTGAACATTTTTCATACTCTTGCTCCTGATGTCACTGGCAGCGGATATCCCAATACTGTTTATTAAGAGCACAATAGTGGCTGGGAGCAGAAGAAATAACCAGCTGCTATGTTTATGAGAGCAGCTATTGAAAAGGAAGCTGGCTAAAATAAAGGGGAAAGAGCACTTTAATGGTGGTGACAGTGGGTGAGAAGAATTTTCCTGAGAACTGACAAAGCAATGAAAAGAAGTCCAAGATCTCATTTTGTAAGATCTAAAAATATTGAAGCTGATCTCTATTTCCATTCTTTTTTCAATCATATAACTTCTGGAGATGTGCTTGTGCTCAGCATAATGCTCAATACGATGGCGTCTTCCAGGGATGCTGCGGCGCTGGGACGACAGTCAGCAGTATCTGTCAGACCACCCGCACCTGGTGTGCGAAGAGACTGCTAATTACCTTGTTGTCATCTGTATCGAGTATGAGATAGATGAGGTGAGTGCAGTGAGGAGCGTGTGAGTGCGTGTTGAGGTTGAAATTCAGGCAGGTAGAGCCTTCAAAACTCTCAATATGCTTGCAGAAACACGCCCTGATGGAGCAGGTGGCCCACCAAGCCATCGTCATGCAGTTCATCTTGGATTTGGCTCGGACGCTGAAAGTTGACCCAAGAGGCTGCTTCAGACAGTTCTTCTCAAAGATCAAGGTATGCTACTTAAACATGCCTTACTGTGCAGTCGCTATGCTCAAGAGAATTCAGTCATTGTCATATGCGTGCATGTCCATGTCAGACTCTAGATAAGTTGTACCAAGATGCATTTGAGCATGAGCTGGAGATGCTAAAGGAGCGGGTCCGCAGTTCTGCACAGACCCGTATGGAGAACGCTGTGAAAGAGTTGGAGGAGGAGGAAATACAGAAGAGACTGGGCCCAGGTTGTTTGGACCCTGTAGAGGTCTATGAATCGCTACCAAAGGTAGGCCATACATGCAGACACACTCTGGAGAGAATTTTGGAACAGCAGTTTTTCATGCAAACTTCCCGCCCCCAGTCTCTTTCCTTGCTCTCTGTTTTCGTATCCCAGAGTTTGTAGCACACTCTCTTTGTTTTTCAGAATAATTCATGGGGCGTGTTTAGAAAGTCAAAGGTTCCTACACACACTGTAAGCTTCTGCAACATTTTATGCAATCGCACACTGCAGCTAAACACCTCACTGTCTTGTTGTTAAATTGCCTCAACTTTTAAACATTGTTAAAGTGTCCTAACTGTACACAGTAGCTCAGACGCTTTGTTTTGGTATATCAGGTGAAGCTAAAAGCCCAGAAAAGTCAAAACTACAAATTAGCTCAGAGAAGCTGTAATTATCCAGTGAGGAGTGGCTAGGAAGTGGAAGAAGAAATAACAGGCTTTTGAAGGATGGACGATGCAGTCTTCTTAAACGTAGATATATTTAGAGAATATAGCTTCTCCTTAACTATTTAAAATTTAACACATTCACACAACAAAGACGAGCTCCTCCTCCTTCATGCTACACTTGACACATGCTAACCCTGTTGTAGTCATAAAGTAAAGGCCTAATTATCCATGCAGTTTATGTTTTTTATAGATAATTACAGTCCTGTTGTTGGAATATTCTTCTCTTACTCGTTTTGTTTTTTGTTCTTTTTAAATCAAACAGACTTCAGCATTAAACCTAACCTTGATAAGTGATTCTACTTTGAACTCACACGACATTATATAATGTTATTCGGGGGGACTTAGTTGGTAATCTTAACTTGCATGTATTGTTCTGGCGTTCTCATTGGATGGATTGTTTATGCACCTTTACTTTAGCTTCACTGACGTTGTGTTTCACAGCCAAGGTTTCTTTTCAAAGACTGAAAGGTCATTAAAAGTCCCTCTCATCTCATGCCATAAAAAGAAAAGCCTTGTTACTTTGATAATCGTGTAGTTTGTGCAAGTGATCGTGTTGCCATTTGGATAATCAGGTGAGTCGGTAGAATAAAGGTCAGCAGAGTGGACTCCACCTGTCAGACGTGTGTGCAGTGCAAGGTAAACACTAGCAGGTTTACATATGTGCTTCAAATAAGTTATGCTAACGTTTCCTTCTGTTCAAGAAAGCAAGTTCATATTAATATGAAAGGAGAAGAGTGATGAATTTATTGTCTCATAGGAGGTAAAGAGGAGCTTTCATGAGAAGAACATTCAGATGCTGCAAGAAGCTATGAGCAAGCTGGACCCTGAGGTGTGTGTGTGTGTGTCTCTGCCTAAAATAATTTATAGTCATTAAAAGCGGCCTGATCAGAAAGTTTCTGTGTTTGTTCTTGCTGTCTCAAACTGTTGTCACCATGTTTTTTCTGTCTATAGGTAGGAAAATACCACCTGAAGAGGTGTATTGACTCTGGATTGTGGGTCCCTGATTCCAGAGGGGATGAGGATGGGGAGGAAGATGGGGACCAGGAAGAGGATTAATAATACTTTATTATAAACCTAGTCAGTGTACCGATTGTGTGTTGTTATATAAGTGTTGTTTCTGGCTGCTTAGTTTTTAAATGTCTCCATGTTAAACTAAATCTAGTCAATTAACTGCATATACATATACTGTGAAATGTGCATTGTATATTTTTTAATAAAGGAGTATTTGAAGATTAGTTTTAAAGAAGTATTTTTATGAATCAGTTCTTATTATTGTTACTGACAGTGTTGACAGATTTATCCCTGCTGTTAATCATCTTTAAAAAGCCAGTTCTCTCAAACATGTTAATACAATCTATGTTTTGAAACTCTATAGTTACTCAGGATGTACTTTTACTTTCACAGTTGTAGCTGGGTCACGTTTCTCTGCAGCTTATAAAAACACTCTTCTCTCTCAGTATGAACGCTTCATGTCACCGTCCATGTCAGGCGTAAAGAGCAGTTTTTTCTGCTTGGTTGTGTCTGTTGTCCCACTGTGGTCAACAGCGCCACCTAAAGTCGTATTTGGGGAAAGATGACTGAGGTGGTGTGGTAGACAGCTTTTTTGTGATTGTTGAATCTTAAGTTCATTAAAGATGTAACTGTTAAATAATATATCAACAGAGAATGAGCTGGACACATGCATATAATCTATATTATTTAGTTAAATTGAAATAAAGTTAATTCATTAATAGATGTGTCGATTGTTGCATTATTTTGATTTATTTATTTATTTTTATTCTTGCGAAACTTCATTAAATTTTTTTATGTTTTGGCAACATAGCTTTGATAAACTGTCGTGCCAGTGAAGCACCATTGGACTGGATTAAATTTGAATTTAAATATCAAGCTAAAGGCACAAGTTAAATGAATAAAGCAAAAAGAAAGATCCTGTACAAACAAACATTTTATAGATTTATTCCAGTGACTGAAAAGGAAGTTACACTATATGTTACTCAAGCTCAACAAGTACTGAGTTTAGGTCATAAAAAAGTGTGCTGCTTTGAATTTAAAGAAAGACGTTTAACAGTGAGCAGGCTTATTATGCACTGATGACATCATATGAAATTTTAATACAGATAAATTTAAGTTTAGGTCTTTATAGTTCCTGAGAACATCAGCAGCCATCTGTGCTAACTCAGTGACATGAATCCAACATCTTTGTTTTTAATCCTCTTTCTCCATCTTTACTTCACACAGTCTATCGCAGCTTGTGTAATACCCTTCATAGCATGACAGAGGGCACTTTGATGCTTCACTGTTATCCCACACCCCACCCAAAGTGACATCAGATGGACACACTGAAACAAGAAAAATAGAAAAAAATCACTTTAAAAATAAAGAAAAGTTTACTAGAACGTGTTTAAGCTGGTGTAAGTTTATCTTGCTACTATGATTTTTCCAGTTTACAGTGACGGACACAAGACACAATATTTTATGCATATATGCTTGTTTTTATGACAGTGTATCATTGGTATGATGCACCTTATACCATAATACACCATATTATAAGTAAGTTGAGCCAAATATGCTGGCTCTTATTCAGCTATGTTTGAAACAATTCAGATTGAGCGCCTGAAAATCTGTGGAAACATTATCAGTTTATTGCTGCTTTTTGTGGGCTTTTGTGGTTAGGTGCGGACATTTCAGACTAAAACTGGCAACTGTTTTTATTTATGATCACAAAGCTGAACACAACATTGCCGCTTTGGACATATATTAAGTAAACAGTTTGCTTGATCAACGATTTGATGTTTTAGTCATTAAAATGTTGAATAAAGTCTCCAGACCATTCAGATCATTTTCTCTTAAATGACAAACTGACATTTCAGCTCGGGTTTTGCTGCTTGTGTCTACTCTGGAGTTTCTTATGCTGTATTTGTCCCTGGAAGTCTCTCTTACAATAAACTGAGCTTAACTACTGTCCATTTATTTTTCTCTAAGTGCTCTCTCTCTCTCTCTCTCGCTCCCTGCCACTTGCATAATGAATTGCTGGGCCGCTCTCTCTCTCTCTCTCTCCTTCATAATTAATTGGTGGGTTTGATTTAGCGTTCTAAATCAATTTTTTCGAGGCAAAGCGTCTTTGCGCTGTCACTTTTGCAAATAGGGAAAAATCAGTGCAGGTCCTGGGGAGGAATCAAATCTAGATAATGCCTATAAAAGCTGATGGGAGAATAACAGAACAGCAAGGCAGCGTCATGGAAAAAAAATGTTTGTGTGTGTGCGTGTGCGTGGACAATTTCTATTATTATTTGGCTGTAATGCTAACAAATCAGATCCTCTCTCAATGACAAAAGGCAGCACAGGTTTAGTATCTGCTCAAGCTATTCTATTCACAGTTTATGTGAGTATCAGTGTCTGTCTGAAAAACTAAAACACTGGCTCAGTGTTTCTCCTTCCTGCTTCTCACGTGTGAATATTTGCTGCCTTAATTTGTCCTAGAACAAAAGGCATTGAATACCATGCATTGTGATGATCCCTGGAAACCTATCTATCTATCTATCTATCTATCTATCTATCTATCTATCTATCTATCTATCTATCTATCTATCTATCTATCTATCTATCTATCTATCTA